CAGTTCAGTGACATTGACTACGCTCTTCCAATTGTGCTGTTATTCTCACGTAAGATGAAGGCTTACAGAACAAAATAGTTTCTCTTTTAACAGTTACTACAAATGTTGCCCTATGACAATGGTTTACAATCTCACAACACATCAACAATATCCTTACTCAACCCTGGGTTCCCTAACACCAGCTTCCTTGTCCCCTTCTGCTCTCTAGCCCTAGTCTCGTTCTGTTTTACCGGCCTGTCTAATCTTTGGCTGAAGGGTGAACCTCAGGAATGACTTCATTACTGAGCTAAAAGGGTATCTGGGGGCCATACTCTGGGGGTTTCTCCAGTCTCTGTCAGGTCACTAAGTCTGGTCTTTTTTTGTGGGTTAGAATTTTGTTCTACATTTTTCTCCAGCCCTGTCCAGGACCCTCTATTGTGACCCCTGTCAGAGCAGTCAGTGGTGGTAGCTGGGCACCATCTAGTTGTACTGGACTCTGTATTTTAGACATTTTGGATTTTAGAATGATAGAATAAGAGATTTGGGACCTGTAGATAGAAAGGAGGAAATGAGAAAGAACCAAAAAAAAAAAAAAAAGGTGAGTCAGAATAATATCACCCAGTGGAGCAGGAGGAAATTCAGGAGAAGGCTGTGCCTCCAGGAACCAGGTGGAAAATAGTTTCAGTGAGGAGGGAGGAATCAACTATGCCAAATGTATCAAAATAATGAGAATTGAATTTGGGAATGTGACACACACTGGTGACCTTGAGAGCTAGCCCAGGCCTCAGCTGCTAAATTAACCCAACTCACATTTAGTGATTTATTTCTAAAAATAAAGGGACAAACTAAAGATTATGAGATTTTTAACTGAGCCATGAGTTAGAATTTCTAAAAGAAAATGTGCTCCTACTTGAGATCTAGACTATATCCATTCAATCAAAATATAAAATAAATTTATAAGAAACACATTTACGCATGCATGTTCCAAAACCTATCAACCCCGACAGTCGAGAAGGTATTCCTGGAACCTCTGGACACTTATTTAAAATTATTTTAAATTCTTTGGCTACAATAGTGAAGAGTCTAGGAGCTAAAAAAGGCAGGGGTGGGCGTCTCATAACTCTCTGATGAAACAGAAGCAGCGACATTATTCCTCTCCTTTCCTGACACCTGCTATAGGGAATAGCTTCGGCAACACAGTGTGGGCCGGCAACACAGTGTGGGCTGGCATGGCCTGAGAAGGTATAATTAGAAAAGGGAGGAGCCAAAAGATAATTATTGCTTGATAGGGAAAAAAAATCCTCACAACCCTGCTATGAAGAATTCTGATATAGTTCAACTCAGTAATCACATACAATTCTTCAACTGTACAACAAATAATACAAAATCAGGCTTTAAAACAAAACCAAGGTAGTCAGAGATAGTACTATTTGTTGCAACTCCTATGAGTCACAGAGATACCATGAGTTAATAGTGAATGCACTGTAATAATAATTGAAGATTATAAAGTTTAATTATAGTTGACTTCCGAATACAATTATTATGTATCATTTTATGTAAAAGCTCAAGTAAAAAGATGATTTTTGGTAACAAAATGAATATTATGGATCATAGTAAAGTAGTCTTGATTGAATATGAAAGTACTATAGTTAGGAAGATTTTGAATATATAGAAGCCAGGGACTTATTAGGGAATGACCAAGTATCTTATATGGTAACCACAGGCATGTGGCCAATCACCAAAATTGGTGGAAGATATGGTAATATTCCTGGCTTATATGATGAGAGGGGTCATTGAGGTGAAAGTATGTTCAAAGAGAAGCCATAATTGCATAAGAAATAGCAGCTAATTTATTTTTAAATGCCAATGTCCAGGATTTGGTGAAAGCTCAGCCATATACAACTACAGGAGATACAGTACCAATAAGGATTACCACCAAAAGATATAGCCAGGGAAAGTTTTTGGTGGAAGAACCCAAATGGAAATGAAAGTAAACTGTAGCTTTACTGCTCAGCTTCAAGTTAATTTTGGTATAAGAGGCAATCTCAATATAACCACTTATACATATTAACTATAAGAACTAATTTTAACTAAGAATAACCACGTGAATATTGTATACAGTGTTCTAACATCTAATGAATCACTGAATCTATGTTCTATGTCCATTGTTATTGGCCTTTACCTTATCTCTATGAGATCTCCAATTAGAAGACAGCAATTGCTTTTTGAAAAACTGCTGCTTACTCTGGACAACTTAATTTCACATAATCTTCACAGTCATATCTTACAAGGAAAGAGATCTTTGACCTACAGTAGCATCTTAAGAGTTGCTTTTTCATATTCTCTTCTATTTACTCAACTATAGGAGCTCCAAGAAAGAAAAGAAAAAAAGAAGTTAGGCAAATACTGAAGCATCTTAACTTAAAGAGTTGTATCAATGGACAAAAAAGAGCCAATTAAAACTTTGTAGACGTTGCTTTGCTCTAGCCTTTGTAAATCCTGACTGGTGCCTGGCCCACTGTTTTGCACAAAGGTTCTCAGGAGAAGTGAACGGATACCAAGGATGTTTCTTCATATGTCCCATGCAGGTGAAGGGTAAGATATGCCCACTACTGGTAATGCCCTTGAAAGGCAAATTGAAGCATGGATACTACCTTCTCCAGCACCAAATCTAGATCCTCATTATATATGCCTACTCTGGGACTGGCCTCTGGGAGTAAGGTAAGTCATTTTTTTTTCCCCCCCAAATTTCTAAGCCTGGAGAAAGACTTCCAGGGACCTGGAAGGAAAGGGAAATGGTAAAGGATTTCAAATGGAATAGTCCAACCTGTCTACCTTTGAAATAAACAACTCTTTTCCTTCCTCCCTCCCTATTTTCCCTAAATAACCAACACGTTCCTAAAAACAGATCTAAAATACCATCTTGCCCACCCCAGTATAACTTTATCAGCCAAAAGGGGGCTATGGTGAACGGTACAAAGAACGCTGTGGGGAGTTATGTCTACATTCCTAAATATCTTACAGATATCTGCCTACATAATCCAACTATGTTACCATTTCATTTTAATTCTTCTTGGGGTTTTTCCTACGTGTATAAATACTCATTAAAAAATACAGTTGTGAGAACACTGTATATATGCACCAGTGAACATCCTTGCACCCATTCCTAATTTTCTGCTTAGAATAAATTCTTTGACATGAAATGTTTGGGTCAAAAGGTTTGTGAATTTTTAGTTCTTAATATATACTACCAAAACTGCCCTCCAGAAATATTGTATACTCCTACCAGCAGAATATGAAAATGCTTGTTTTTCTATACCCTTAAACTCTGGGCATATAGTATCTGCCAATATTTAAACAGGTAAAAGTGGAATTCCGTTATTTATTTTGTCTTTTGTGAACTGCCTGATAATGACTTTCCTGTTTTTCTACTGTGGAAGGGGAGTTCAATTTTTTCTTTTTGATTTGTAAAAGTTTTAAAAATATATTATAGATATTATACATTTGTCATGGGTATGTTCCTGTTTCAAAAAATATGAGTGTCAGGTGCAGGAAAATGATTGTATTAAATCAGTTAAGTAAAAAGGCTTTATAATCATATATAAGGAATTATTTATGTAATGCCTACATTTACATTACAATGAAAATAAGAAAAACTACCTGACTGTTCATTTAGAGAACAGACAGCTTTTCTTACTGAGACTTATATGTAAAAAGATCCAATAGGCAAATTATATTCTGAAGAGTTTACATTTTATTGTTCAGGGTTTTCCAGGCTCTCCATAAAAAGGAAAAAAAATAATAAAACCTATATTGTGGGATCTCTGGTCCTCAGTTTCTTCTTCTATACAACCAAGAAGCTAAACTAGGGTTAACCAGAAGTTAAACTATGAGAGGGCATCATGCACAGCTAATATGCCAGAAGAGCCTTACCAATATCATGTTTCAAAGACAAGAAATAGACTAAGCTATGACCCACAGTTCATATTACATGAAATGGTTGACAAGCTCAAAATACTGCCAGTACATTAGTTAACACAGAAACGGTTATGTCCTGAGATCTCTGCTGAGGATTCCATCACATTAATATATACAATAGTTAAAATGTGACATTGGAAACCTCTGATATGACTTGCCGGCAATTACAGACGATGCAAGAGATTATACAAATCAGGCTAAATACAAACTCAAGCTTACCTGGAATATTACCACACGGAATTTATTTTTCTTCATTATTTCCTCTTGCTTGGATTCAACTTCTGTAACATGTACTTTTTGCTTCTCCACGCGGGCCTTCACATCTTTAATGTGAGCACTAACTTTTTGGGTTTTCTCAAACAACTTGTTAACTATGTAACTTGTGTTGCTGTGTGACTGTGAGAACTTCAACAGGTCAATCTGGACAGATTTTATTGCGTTTTCCATCTGCCTGTGTCTCTCTTCTATTCTCTTCTGGCTTGCCTGTACGCTATCCACGATGGAGGCTACTTTGTCCAGCACAGTCACAATGGTGAGAGCTGCATCTTGGTCTTCATCTTCGGTAACACTCGACAAGCGATTCTGGTGGATTTTATCAGCATTTGAAGCAGACCCATTATGCTCCATTTTACTTATTTCTCAGTGAGAGATGTGCTACCACAATCAATTCTGGCACTTAGAGCAAAGAGCTTGATAACAGGCAATGGGGTTGTTTAAAGGGTTGGAAACCCCACCCCTGGAGATTAGTCAAGTATTTATAACTACAAATATTCATACGTGACTGTTCTGCAATATGAACCCTTGCAAAGCACTGGGTACTGTTCCAAACATGCTTGCTGACTGACTAAGGGACTCAAATAAGAACAGGAACACATTTTTAAAAAAGTTCACTAAAGCTACCACGTTACTCATATTAAGCCTAGAAACCAAATGACCAAAAAAGTAAACTTCAACACTTGGGTAAAGGTTTTTCCTTTACATATTTTCAAGCAGTATTTGTAGAAGAAAGGGAAACTGTGAACTAAAATCAACTTTTTCTATTAATTTTACTTATTAAACATACTGATAAAGCAATAGCAAAGAATGTAGTAAATAAACACAACAAAACACAGGCCATATAGTGAAAACATTATATTATAACATGCTTTTCCAAATCAAATATTTAATTTTGAACATATTCTTAAATTCTACATGCGTACTTCTGAATATCTAAACTACGTGATTAACAGCTGAATACATTCTATTCACACTTCAGATCTTTAAACAACAATCTATTAATACAGCTATAACTACAGGACAATTTGGATAGAGGTCTTAGATAATTTTTTAAGCTCACTTTAAGAGCACCAACCTTTAACAATCATTTTTGTATTTTATTCACAAACACTGATACAATTTGCTTATTTATGTTAAAACAAATATTTTCTTTAAAAATGAATGCATATTAAAGTAGTTTAACTGATAGAGTAGGCTTTATTCCAATCTGTTAAGCAGCCTATTTCTCAATATCTAAATCTACTTCCAGCAATCTGTTCCATCATTACTACCAGACACCTTTTCAAATTGTTAGAATTATTTTTCAAAGAGAGGAATAATCACAATTCCAGCCCATACATCTTATATTTTACATCTAACACACACAGCTTTACAGTTCATGCAATAGGCAGTGTCTAAAAAAATCAGTTACTGAATCTCAAAAACATTTAAATATCTATTTAAACACAGTGTCTTCTAGATTTTTTTTTTTGTAAGAAAAGTAATCTGTAAACAACTTTACCTTTAGTTCATGCTTTGTCATTGCTGTGGTCATTGTGGAAGCAGTGAGTATAACTTTATAACCATTTGTGAAGTGGTCCATCTTTGCAAAAATATTACATTCCATGGGTAAAGAACAAGTTTTAGAATTACCATGTGGTACAAATACATGAAACCAATTTCTGTATTTAAAAACATAAAACAAAGACTACTAAACAGCCCAAAACTGTTTTAGCTGAATATTTCTAAATATGAGCCAACAGTACTACACTAAAAATGTCCAAAAATAAGGCCTCTGAAATAAATATTTCCATTCTTTAAAAAAAGACATAATAAATGTACATCACATGGCCAGTGTATGTATAAAAGTTATCAGTTTAAACCATTCTGGATGACGTATCTGAAGGAAAATGACCTAGGTTTTGCTTCTGTCGACGTCCTCTGTTGTTTTTAGGGCATTTTCTGTTTCATTTTGAAAAAAAAAGAAAAATATTATTTCATTTAGGATATTTCAATGTTTCCAGAGTAATACACATTTCACACACGGAGCCACATTACATGCAACCACATGAACGGGAAACAAGATGCTATCTGATGTGAGATACGGTGAGGAGTAGAGCAATGTCAGGCTGCTACCTTCCCTACAAAGTCGGGGAGGTGAGAGAATTAGATACAGGGTACAGGTATGGACACAAACAGAACTCATTCCCAGGGTCCACACTGCTGCAAATGCATCCCTGACAGGAAGTGCCATCCTTCCTCTGGCCCAGCAACTGCCCATCCGCAGTGACTGACCACATATGAAGCCTGTGGCAGTAGAAAAGACCCTGACCTACGTACCTTCCCTGAGCATCATGACAACCATGGATTCTCTGGGTGGTGCAAATGGTTAAAATACTCGGCTGCTAACCAAAATGTTGGAGGTTGGAGTCTACCCAGGGGTGCCTCAAGAAGAAAGGCCTGACAATCTACTTCCAAAAAGTCAGCCACTGAAAACCCTACGAAGCACAATTCTACTCTGACACACATGGAGGGGGTGTCCACAAGTCAGAGTCAACTCATAGCAACCTCATGTGACAGAGCAGAACCATCCCACAGAGTTTTCGTAGCTGTAATTTTTATGGAAGCAGATCGCCAGGTCTTTCTCCCACAGGGCTGCTGTATGGGTTCAAACTGCTAACCTTTTGGGTTAGCAGCTGAGCACTTAACTGTTGTCACTCCCAAAATGACAAAAATAGCTCAGATGAAGGGGGAATTCGGGAAGAAGAGTACTTATTAAGCTCAGTGATTCATACATAGAAATTGCCTGGTTATTTTAGACAATGACTCAAAAGTTAACAAAAAGAAGTCGTTCCACACCCTGCTCAGGCAATCCACAGAACACAACGATGAACTGCCATGCTGAAGATAAGGGATATTTCCTGACTAAGCTCTAATTTTACTGTAAATGCTTCTCCACGGTGGTAGAAATCTCACTGTATTATAACTGCTCTTGTGCCTGCTCACCCACTAGGATGCAAACATATGAGCTGTTACTACGCACAGGGTACTGAGCCGTGCAATGCGGACTAAAGAGACTGGGATGTATACTGCACCTTGGGTTTGGGTTTGGGCTCTGCTGTTAACAAGCTGTGCAACCTCAATTTCCCTATATGTAAAATATTAAATTAGGAGTTGGACTGACCTCTAAAATCATTGCCAGAGAGGAATTTATAATCTAATGGGAAGAAACTCTTACAACGAGTACCAGTACTCTAAAGTTTCATGTTTTTATTCAATTTCAAAAGTACTGACTTGCCTGTACTTAAAAGCCTTGATGATGATACTTCCATTTTGTATATTGTTTTCAAATTTTTCTCACTAATCCTCATAAAAACACTTTTAAACAGACTGAGCTGAAATCACCTCCATTTCATAAGTGGAAAGTGGTTGAGAGGTTAAGCAATTCTCTTTAACTGTCACTAATGTACCATCACCTTAGAAAAGTCCCAGCTTCCTAGGGCCATGGGTTTTTCATCTATAAAATAAGGGAGCTTGGCTAGAATGATATTTGAGGTCCCCCCCTCCTCAATTTATCATTCTACACGTCTAAACATAGGAAAGAAATTCCAAACAGAAAAAAGACTCATGTGGTCTTGATAAGCAGGTCAATAAAACCCAAAAATCAAACCCAATGCCATCAAGTAGATTCCAACTCATAGCGACCCTAAAGGACAGAGTAGAACTGTCTCATAGGGTTTCCAAGGAGCAGGTGGTGGATTCGAACTGCTGACCTTTGAGTTAGCAGCCGAACTCTTAACCACTGCACCACTAGGATTCCACAAACAGGTCAATGGGAACAGCCTGTTAAAGGAATACTCCTCACCACATAACAGCCACCATAGGATAACTGAACAGTGTCCCATAATGCACTGTGTGGGAGAGGCTCTCCATAAAAGTTCAGCAGAGATGAGTCCAAGTGCAAAATTACAATATTCTAAATCCAAGATAGCAAGACATTCTGGTGGAGAAAATACCACAATAGAAAGACAGGTCTCAAGGAGAAATCTGTCATAAATCCAAAGAGGTCACCCATCAGCCATGGAGTTGGTGGTCACTGAAGACACTGTCACACAGTTAAAAATATACTGTGAAAAAAAAAAAATACTGTGATGCCTAACTGTGTCTGTGAAGACAGCAAATGGATTTGAGGTATAAATTAGAGGCTGGCAATTTGAAAATTACCTTCCAGGTAGTTTTAATTCAGTAGTTGAGGATTACAGCACACTAGGAACAAAAGCATAGAGTTCAATAAAAAGCTGGATTAGGAGGTGCAAGAGGCTGTAAGTAGCTCTATGACCTTAACAAAGTACTTCCCGTTTCAGGGCTTCAGTTTCTTCACTTCTCCAGAATGAAGTGGTGTACTCAAGGTTGCTTCCCACTGGCTCTCACGTCCCTCAATCTTCTTAAAGAAGGCACTATCAGCAGTCCTCAAAAATCCTCCTTTTCCTTACCTTCTTTCTTTCTTTCACCATTCAAAATCACTTATTACCCCACTCTTGCTTTACTCAAATGTCCCAAATGGTCTCCTTGCCTCACACCTTTCCTACTCTGATGAATTTTGCGGATGACTCGCAGATTAGGGCTCTCAAAAAATGGTTTTCAGTCATCACTCGAATAGACATATGCACACCTGTGTTCATGGCAGCACTGTTCACAATAGCAAAACGATGGAAACAACCTAGATGCCCATCAACAGACGAAGGGATAAACAAACTATGGTACATACACACAATGGAGTATTATGCAACGAGAAAGAACAACGATGAATTTGTGAAGCATCTCATAACATGGATGAAACTGGAGAACATTATGCTGAGTGAAATAAGTCAATCACAAAAGGACAAATATCGTATGAGACCTCTATTGTAAAAACCCATGAAAAAGTTCACACGCAAAACATAACAATCTTTGTTGGTTACCAGGGATGGGAGGGGTGGGGGGAAATACTAAATAGGCAATAGATAAGTGGTATCTTGGGTGAAGGGTGAGACAGTACACAATACAGGGGAAACTA